GCTTCCAAGTAGGGTTTGGGCGGTTTGGGTGTGTTCGATACTACAAACAAATTAATATCTACCCTGAGCGCCTCCTCCATGAAAGTGTTGAGAGTGCCAGGGCCCGCACTCTGTCCCTGAGGGCAATGCATCGTGTGGGAAGTTTGGGTGTTGGCACTAGCAGCAGGTTTCTTTGGGTATAGGGTTCAGGGCAAAAGCTATTTACACTAGTAGTATATACTGAGGAATATAAGAAGCAGCTTGTGATCCACCTGCTGATAGACAAACAGAGGCCACACGGTCTGCAGTGCATTCTTGGAATTCTCCATGAGCCGTCCAAAGGCCACCGCCACTAACTTATCCTCATGTGTTTCTGTAAATCTAGCATCATCACCCCAAACATAGAGAGGAATATGAAAGTCCGCTGCCCCCATTGTTGGCATCCCCGTGCTCCGAGCATGATCCCAGAACTTCTGAATTTGATCTGTATCATCCACCGGGAGGATGCCCTGGCGCACAAGCCAGGGAAGCACTTCATGTGGTAGAGCCACAGGAAGACTCCTTGGGTTAACAGGTTCTACACCGGCCTACAACATTTGATCCCTAGGGAGACAAGGAACCTTTTCTTCAGCACACCGTTAATGATCACAGGGACGTCCAACTTTTTGACCGGGACCTCGGATTCAACAGCTACAGTATGTAACATGTTTTGTACAAGAGAACTTGCACACAACACAACAACTAGAGGATGTGCATGTATGCTTCTGCATGTAAGCCACCTTGGCAGCTTTGCATCTCCGGAGCATATCCCGCTGGATGTTGCTAGGCCATTTACCCGAAGTGGATATCAACTCACCTGCGGCGCCTTGCAACACCATACCGTAGCCCTGGAACTCCTGGTCCACAGCTTCCAGCAGCTCCCGTGCTCCCGTAAACGAAGTTCCCTCGGATTGCATTGGATGCAGGCCATGACAGCGGCACAACATGGATCAGGCAGGACCTCCGCACCACATGTGTTTCAGTCCTAGCTAGCCCCAGCAGTTTGAATTCGAAAGTAGTTTCAGAGTTTTTGTTTAGATACATATTAAAGCTTGTAGGTGGGGGTTTTTTACTTCTGACAGGGATTCTGGGATGAATATGAGGTTTCATCCAGTTACTTAATTGCAATGGCCGATGTCTAGGCTTGTGATATCGTACACATTGCAAGCGAGCAGCCCCTTTGCCGATGGTCCTCATGACGTAGGCATGCAGAGGAGTGCTCGATGCCCGACCTGCGTAGGGAGCTTCTATATATACGCATACCCGCTCATCCCCAGTTCGTTGTCTCATCGATATCATGCAATGCTGCTTCACAGTAGACTGCGACTCTACACCAGAGCACCACACACAAGGTTACCATTTTCGGCACAGCACTTCAGCTGCAGCTGCTTCGGACTTCGGATTTGCAATGTTGCATCCGGATTAAACCGCCTACGGCCCATCACAGCAGCACCCTTACAGGAGTAGCTGTCTAGATATACCCATGGGCTAGCGAGCACAAACCAAGAACCATTAGTCCTAAAGCCTGAACCCTAGCCCCTTTCAGCCCTGATACGGTTGATGGACAAAATTCTGCATGACCCAAATAATATAGTATAGTACCATAAATCCCATACTTTATAGGTATAATATAAGGTCATGCATGATTTTGTCCATCAAGAGTAAGCCTAAAGTCTCAGATATACGGCAGACTCCCGATACGATGGTGATATAATGAGACAGTGACTGCTGCTTGAATGTGATGGCCATGGCACAATCAAAAGCTTGTGGCCAAAATCCGCCTAGCGATCACAGGTGGTGCCACTTGCGAGCCCTTGCGAGCTGACACTCAGCGAGCTTTGGAGGCTCTGCCCTTGGCCTTCGCCTTTGGATCCTTCGGCGGAGCCTAAGATCACATGCAAGCATTGGAGTATGAACATAAAAGCAGAGCCGAAGCGTGCACTTTTTAAACTGAAGTGTTGTAGCCTAGATACCGTGGCTGTTTTCACAGCCTTGATCTTGCCAGCCAGTACGGTAAACGCCTGGTCCACGGCTCGCATGACATTGTCGTACTTGGTTTTCTCCTCACCAACCTCAGATAAAACAATCGAATAGGGAAGCGACTATGTGACATGGGCCAGCAAACGAGTTGTGAAAGCCTTTCCTTCCGAAATGCCTAGTAATCAGCTGAAACCGGGGAACGATGTCTTCGTCCTCAATCTTAAGGGCAAACCATTGCTCAAGACCGGCCCGGGCATTCTCCACGGCACGCGTGCCCTCCTGGAGCTCGTGGGCATAGCCCTCCTTCATCTTCTCAGACCTGGGATCGTGAAA